ACCGGACAGTGCATCTTTGGCCGATGGATATATAGGTTGCTGGTGTCTTGCAAAATTTGACGGAGGAAGACTGCTTCAAACTCCAGGCACCTTGTAACCAAGGTCACAATTGGCCCGAAATTATAACCTCACTGTCATTACACTCGGCTTTTCTGACCCGTCAGGTCTACACAACACAATCGTTTCTAGTTATTGGCCAACACAATCGTTTGCGGTTGATCTAATACAGTCGTTGGCAATCACTGTCACTCCATATATACTCTCGTTATTAGCGTTGAAGCGATTCATTTCTTTACGCGTTACCCGATTCTTGTAAGCCAATTCATATTCTTGATCCGTGTAATTGAATTAGACACCTCAAAAAAGCTTTCTAGCTGTGCCCAGGTACACACTTCAAATTTCTCGAAGGTCGTCATTATGCAGAAATTCCGTGGAGTCGATCACCCATTGGCTGTCCTCTTCCTCATTATCGTCGCCAGTCGATTCACCCTGGGGTACACTACCGGTCCACCAACAACCGAAGACTCTGCCTGTTACGGCTCCTGTCCCGGGCGAGGTCAGCCATATACCGGTCGAGGATGCAAAGCAATCTTTGGTTGCCGTGGCCCCTAGGCACTAATGGATCGGAATGGAAGAAACCAAAAAAAAAAAAAAATCTATCATGACTGTGATGATTCGGTTTTTACGTCGCATGCATCATTTCATACTCTACGGTACATCTACTTCCCCTATAATGATTGCTGCCTGATCTCGACCCCAAACCGATGCACAGATCTTTCAAACTCGTTTGTATGTATATATATTTACCAATCTACTTGGCTTGCCTGATTAATATACCATAAGTAACATTCAAAGAATAAGTAGCAAAATATGGCTATCTTTCGTGATGTTCTCTCTTCCATTGGCTACTTGAACCTACAAAGATTTTATATCACAATCCTCTTACTCTGAGTTAGACAATCTAGTTCAGATAATGATATTTGTGATAGACTCAATATCCGGTGCTTAGAAGCAGGTTGTTGGGAGGAGCTATTGTAGTGACAGACCGTATGACAGTTTCATGAGTAACTCCTTCAACCATGTTTGCTTTTGCTTGGTTCTTTCTCCATTAAACAACCTGACAAAAAAAGGTTGATATGTAGCTTACTTACAAGGAATACTGACTGGACAAAGACCAGTGAGATACCAATCAATTCCCTTCCCTTCTTGGTCATTCACAGTAGTAGACCACTTTTTTGCATTGCACTGACCTGAGGGAGGGACCGAGGTGCAATGTTGACCCTGGGCTTGAGAGCATTAACAATTTTGGTGGATGTTTCTAAATTTAGAGTGAATCTCGCAGCTTTGGCCATTTTTTTTTTTCCTCTAGAGTTCTGGTAGTCATCCTTCAGCCCCAACCTTTGTGGCAGTCCTAATTGTGGCCCTCAATATTTTCTTTCAAAAAATCTAAATTTGACTGAGGTGGGTTTACTCTTTCAGGCTGTGGATGCATGCTGATTGGACAACTTCCATTCAACATCTGTGGGTCTCCCAGAGCCGGTTTAGAGCCTCAAAATTCAAATTTCTCTGCAAGAATTAAGAGATTTTGGGTCCAGATCAACTTCCGCGGGGGTCCCAGATCTGATGGGAAGTCCTCTATTGTCTCCCCTGGTTGAATTTTTGCTCTATTTAAGTTCAAATGGGCAATATTTAGTTTCTTTCCACAGCAATACAGGACAAGGGTATGCTGTAAGCCCATGATATGATTTATATCAATCTATAAGTCTATGTATGGGTCCGAATTGCAGTAAAAAAAAGGGAAACTTTCTTTTGGCTGGAACAATCACCAAGCTGACTACCAGTACCATTTAGAATATACAACCTCCAAAGATGCCAAAAATGTTGTCACCTTGTGGATCTGACCTGGGTGACATCTGTGTGTCTGGATCACATCCAAGATTTGACTTTTCCATGCAGCTTGGACCTGACAGATGACTACTAGCACTACAAGAAAACCTCAAGAAAATGCTGGCAGTTGACATCCAAAGACCTTTCTGAACCTTGTTCTTCAACTCAACTCTTACTGATTGCTTACTTTGGTCAAACTTTGATGCACAGTGACTGTGCAGAAGGCATTGATCTGGGATACCCAATGGTTCAACAAAGTTTTTATTGGGGTATCCTTCATGTCAACTGATACCTGTTACCTGTGATTCTCTTGCAGAAACTGCAACTTTGGTTTTCACTTTTGGAATATTTCAAGCTGTCTCAATCTTGCTAGTGGTTAACACATCTCCTTGATTATTCATGATGATTGTAACATTGCTAATTACAGATACTGTACATTGCAACCTTTGTGATTCAGCATGAATCAGGAGAATGGAAGTCACAAATAAAATCAAATGATTCTCCACAATCTTGAGGATCTTTTGCTTCCCCAAAGAGCACAAGCTTCATAATGGTGTTTCTACAAAGGATTGGCAAAGACATATTTCCTAATTCTCCCAGGCCACAGGGCTGACTCAGCACATAAGTCCCTCCAACAATGCCCCCCCCCCCCCTCTAATTAGAGGGACACACTTCAGTTAGAGTGAGATAGGTCTTGATGATATGTAAAGGAAATGTGCACTCACAGTCATGGACAAACCACTCCAGTTGATGGTGAGTCTTGTGGGAATGAATTAGCGACCTAAATTGAATGCAGGGAGTGCTCTTTGAGGTGCTCTTTGAGCAATGTTAGATCTGCTTCTGATTATTCCTACTCAGAAGTCCAATCCATATTAAGGACCACTCCATCTCAATGAAATTTCTGAGTTACTATCTCAAAGAAAGTGTCACAAGCTGAGCCCGTAGCGTATCCCATACTCAGCACCATTCTTCTTCTCAACACTAATCACTACAGCTACTCATTACATTATTCATACTCATTGTTGGAATTCTTCCGCTTTCCCGCTCATAATTGCCGCTCTCTGACTTCCACTCCCGCTCTTCTCATTCCGCTCTCTCTCTCTCCATCTCTTTTCCTTATCACATCTCTATCTTTATTGCTCCTTTTCCGTTTCATCTATATTGCTTCTTCCTCTGTCTTCTCAGAAAGACCAAACTTGTCATCTCAACCACAAACTTCCTCAATACATGTCAGCCACCAAACCACAAGCTAGCCCTCTTGTCAATTGTCTATAAAAACCAGCTTGATGTTTCCCAGCAGCCTCCAACACTTCCAACACTCACAATCAACTAACCACTTTGCCTCAAAATGTTCCGCTCACTTCTCATCATCCTGCTCGACTCAATCTTCCACCATTCCCCTATATATATACCACTTTGACTCTGTTTCTTCTCCTCTCTTATTCTCTTCTTTCTCTCTCTCTCTCACATTTCCCTTCTTGTTCACTTGCACCAGTGTTTACTACACATTCTTTCCTCATCAACTTGGCACTCACGCATCCTTGTATCACCAACTCTATCTCTTGATCTCCTCACTTGGCTTCTGCCAATTTGGTGAGAAAATCTTTCAATGATTTCTCTGATTAAAAAAACCTTGATTAACCCTTTCTGTTCTATTTTATTTTCCTCGTCTGAGTGTCTACAATTTGTCATTATTTGATCTTGTCTACCTCAGTGTTTCTGTTCTGTCTAAGTCTAAGATAAATTCTCACTGTGGTAAATTTTCTTAACTGTCATTTGTTGAATTTCTTTTTTTTCTTTTTTTTTCTGAATATTTTTCTAACACTTGTTTTTCTATCTTCAAGTTGTGGTTCTAGTTTCATTGATCAATCTTGTTTTTCATCACTCATCACTCAGATAATTGGATAACCCAAAACCCTCTAAGTTTCCTCAGTTTCTTCATTCAATCATCTCTTTTGATCTATTTCACACCAATACAATCAACACAAGCATTTGCTCTCTATCTTCAACTGATCTCTACAGCCTGCTCTCTCTGATATTGTATCTGCCTGCTTGTGTGCCTCATGTATCTGAAAGAACCACTGTTTGTGTCTATTTGCAAAACCCTGTGCTTTCTGTACTCTAATGATTTTACATATAACTAGCCTTTCACAGGCACTGACTCTGTGAGTCAGACTATCATCACAGTATTCTGTACTACTCCCTTTCATCCAAAGCACCTTGTGCAACTGCCCTTACTAGAAAAAGATGTCAACAAAGATCTGATAATAGCTGAAGTAATTCTGCATATTCCAGTGCTATTTACGAGTGGGGATTTTGGAAAGCTGAAGGGTTGGGTGCGAATTTGTCAACAATTGTAAAGGAACATCTACAGAGTCCTCAGGGTATCTGATTTCCAAGTTATTGGCGCTTCAAGACACTCAAAAAAAAAGGTGCATTAAGTGGACTTATAATGGCAGTACAACTCACTGAGGAAAAATCAATGAGGGGGGGGGAATCCTTGAATATTCTTGAGGATGAAAAAAAAAAAAACCAGAGGGCTTTCAGTGATCATTGTGATTGAATAGTCATGGGAGGATTTAAAATTGAGTTGTTGCAAGATAGATGTAGTAGAGGGATAGAAGACCCCAAGCCAAAAATGCATTGAGTAGAAATTGCTCCCTGGTCACATTGTCTGCACAGTGTAAGTTGAAATTTATTCTTATTCTGACCAAAGACAAGACTGATTATAGTGTTCTGTTCAAGCTATGACATCTACACAAGGTCTTATGGGAGAAAATGTTACAAGGATTCCAGACACAAGGAGCTTGCTTTTTCTATTTCCGGTGATTTCCAGCCTGAAGATCACAAAGAGACAATGCCCACACCCCTCAAATGATCCCCTTCCAAAGACTTTGATCAAGAGATAGATCTGCATTCTACACCAAAAAAAAACCAAAACCAAAAACAATCAGATTGTTGGACGATGATGCTCAACGAGTGGAGCAATACCAGAAATCAAGGACAGACCCTTGAGGAGGGATTTCTTTAATTGGTGATGGTGTGCGACCCACGCTAAGGTTATAGGTCACGGCCAGCCAAGGTGCAAGTGAGAGTGAGACACACACAAGTACATTAAAGCTTGTGCCAAGCAAGTCATATACCTTGGAAGTTAATTCCAAAAGTGTCCCTTCTTTTTTTGGTCCCAACTTGGTTGTGGCCGGTGGTCAGAAGGGGCTTGACAAACCATACATATATAAGTCATGAGTGTTGACACTTAATCGATCCCAAGATCATCAGATGATGATACTCTTTGATACTCTTTACAAAGCATGTGTTTTCATCCTTTGATATATAAGCCCTGTTTGCCACCGATATCATCAAGCAAAATAATCAGACGGTTCATCTCAACAGAAACCATTCCAGCCCATTCTATAAAGTGTTTACATATCACCCACTTTTTTTTAGAAACTGAAACAGTAGGTCCTGAATCTGATGCCCCAAAATCTGCACATATGATGTCATCAAAATCCTAAAAATAACAATTTCCTTGTAATTAAAAAATTGGCTATAAAATCATGATGAATGTCTATAATGACCCCCAATAAAGTCTTGCCGGACATCACCCAAAAAACCTTTTTTGTGTATTGAAATGCTTGCGATAGATACTGCTTGCAAACACATGAAGGCCTTATATCCATCCAGCCCGAAAATCTTATTCTCAACTGACATGCCAATTATACTTCAAGCATCTGCACCCAAAGCTACACCCCCCCAAAAAAAGTTAAGAATACATTACTTCTCAGCCCAGTTTTATATGTGTTGACCAAAACAAAAGTAGATGTTTGATTGTACCGCCAACTCAAGGAAATGAGCCGGGTTTTCATTTGTTTGGAGAAGGATAGACGGGGTTGAGATAATAAGGAAGGAATGAGAGACTGATCAAAGAGGAGGTTTCATCATAAGTACTCATGATATATACCCCTCCCCCAAAGCTAACTAACACAAAAAAACCCAAGCAAAGTAACCCTCAGAAGGAACCCACAGAAGGTTTTTAAAAAAAAAAACAATGATAAAAAGACAAAGATGTGATGATCAATGAAATGAAACAGAATGTGACAATGAACTCCACCCATCAATTGAAACACCAACAGGGGTCTCTGGTGTTGCTTGGTTGTTGAGATTATTTGGTTGTGTAAGTTATTTGAATCCAACAACAAACAAAACAGAACCAAAAAAAAAGAAAGATGTAGAACACAAATCTGTGAAAAAGAACAATGCATGTATGTATGTATGTTTAGGACAACTGAAGAAAAGTGAGGAAGAAAAGACAACAGTAATCAAAAAGAAAAAAGAAATGGGAAAAAATGTCTTTGATTGGCAACACAAACAAAGTAAAGAAAGAATAAAAAAAATGCAAAATTTAAAAAAAAGAAGTAAGCCAAAGAAGGTATACCGTTTCTTTTGATTAGTAAAGATCAACATAGATATGAAGAGAGAAAGAAAAAAAGAGAAAAAAAACGACTAAAGAGGTAATGCAGAAGGGCTGTAAAGATCTCTTCTGCTTTTAGAAAATGAAAAAGAAAGGAAAGGAATGATAAGCATCTAAGAAAAAAAGTCCATTATGAAATATCAAAATATATATGTGTATATATATAAGTGCAGGTGAAGGTCATGACGAGGCGGCTGTTGCAGAGATGTGCAAAGAATGGACGGGGTTTTTTGGGGGGGTTGATCGAAGTCGCAGGAGGAGGCCAACATCTAACTGCGACCTTGCATGTAAGCTTCCTAGAAACGACGAACACGCAAAAAAGAGACATGTCAATGAAAGCAAAAAAACGGGGGCAAAATCAGATTCCAAATAGGGTCAAAGAAGAACAAACAAACCTGTTCTTCAGCAAGCATATCAGCCATCCGATCGCCACTATCGTCAGCCCAAACGGCAGACTCTCTCTGTTGTTGCAAGCGACGACGATGACTAGCCTCAGCCTCAGCAACCATCCCTTCGACGACGGCGGCCCCGAGTTCTCTTCCGGCGACCCGATGAGGGCGGCCGGATGTTCCGGTTGCAGCGGATGGGGGGACGATGCGACGTCTCCGTCGTCGTCGCGGCAGAGTGATGAACTTTGGTAAGGGGCGTATGTCAAGGTCCAGACTGACATTGGTGGCCGCTTGCAAGGCTTCGATCAAATCAATCACCCCGCGGTCGTCCTTTGCCTGCAGAAGAAACTGCTCGCCCTCGGCCCGGACCCGAACGATGTACTTCTTCTTGACATAATCCGCGGCCAAACCAGACTCGGCATTCTGGAGAGAATACACTCGATGGAGACAGTTGTGATGGGTAGGAAGCTGGGTAGCTTTGACAAGTGCTGCTTCTTTCAACGAAGTCACTGGCGCCGAGTCATACTGACCTTGATGGAAATGTAGCGGGGGTGCAGCGGATGGGTTGGCTTTTGAGGTGATTCCACATTTTGATGCCAGGGGGGAAATGGATTTGCCGTGGACAAAGTTGGAGCTATACGGGTCCTCAGACCCAGATAACATGTGTGTATGAGGATCGGAGCGGTAGACACGAATCATCGTGCCATGCACAATGACATATTGTCGTTTCCATGCTCGGTCCTTGGCCTGAACGCCAGGAGATTTGAATTCCATCTTCCGTGGCATCCAGCCCTCAAGGTGAATTGCGCAGCTGTACGACGGTAGCTTTTCCCGACCCTCTTCTTCTCGAGGCAGAACCACATGCCTTGTGCTGCCTGAACTTTGGAGTGAAGCTTCGTAAGATGGTAAACTGGCAGCAGGCCGTAGTTCGTACATAGACTGATGGCGATATGAAAAGGAAGACGGAGGAGGTAGGAATGCGGACTGTGAAGTCGGCTGTCTCCTTACGGCCGTCAACGCTTTGTTGGTTAGGGTTTGGTTGTCCACATCTGCAACAATCACGGGAGGAAGTTGTGTTATCGGCTTCGGATCACAGGGAGAAGGTGATTTGGGTTTAGGAGCAGGACTGATCGTCACGCTTGGACTTTCGGTTGGATGCTGGCTGACAGAGATGTTGTCCAGACGCGAGGCAGAATGGCTACGATGGGAGGCGAGCATTGGTCGAGCCGGACGGGGAGGCGGTGCTAGAGATGATGAGGGAGTTGTGAGCAGTAAGAGCCTGGCCCGATCACCAAGGGACTGAGCAGTAGAAGATTTGGTGTCACTTGGGGTATTAAAGTAAGAGGTATGGTTACTCGATGATGCTGAGAGTTGGGGTGAACGCTGATGAGGAGGTGTTGGCTTATGCTGAGACACCGGTGGTGTGTTGGAGTCAAAATTGATCCATTCATGCCGGCATGTGTGGGCTGTGGGCTCCTGAGTCGAATTAAATTGGTCGGCAGCCTGAGTCGAAAGCTTGGGGGTGAGCATTGGCGGCTGTTCTTGCGGGTGGCGATCGACCTGTGGACTTCCCTCATCAGATACGCCATCCGTGTCATCAGATCCCGCCTGGTCTTCAGCTTCAACTTCATACTCAGCAGATCCATGATCGCCAAGGCTTGATCCTGATGAGTCTGTAGGTTGCCTGACTTGATTCGATGTGACAGGGTAGGAGTTCAACATAGGTAAAGCGCGCATAGGGGTAGATGGACTGGATGGGTGGTGAGTAGGTGACAGCGGCAAGGGTGGGGATTCGATAGTAGGCCCATTTAGCCTGATTGGAAAGTTGTTTCTCGGTGAAGGAGTGGGTCGCACACGGGATGTCAAGCTTGAAGATGCGCCATTGACGTATGGGTTGACTATTGGGGACCGGTCAATGGGCTCAGAAAGATGAATAGCCTGTTGTGATCGAGGCATTGAACAAGCCATCTCTCGAGAATTTGAAGAGTCTGAACGAAGCAACATTTTAGCCATTTTTTGTATACAAGAAAGCTTTTTGAAAAAAAAAAAAATGCGAGATCTAAAAGCTTACCTGAAAATGTGGCTACAGTCGTTGGTTCGGATGCACTTGATCTACCATCAATAGTAGAGATGCCGAATGGAACTGCTGGATTGTTAGGGAGACCGGGTGAGGCCGAGTCGGATGGAAGAGAGTCTTCGCAGTAGGGGAGGCCGCTGAGTAGGCTCGGAGAGTTGAAAGAAAAGCCAAGTTCGAGCTCTGGCGGTGAGTTTGAGCTCCAAGGGCTGGACTTGGAAAGTTTGTTCGAACTGGGTTCACTCGTCAAGGTAAGATGAGATGACGAGTCAGAGTTATGGTCAATCGATACGAGAGATGGTGATGGGCCGATACGAGAATGTGAATCTGGAGGCGGGCGTTGAGAATTATTTAAGGGTCTTCTTGAAAGTTCCTCGGAGTGGGTGCTCTCCCAGGGTAATCTGATTTCAACTGGCATCTTGCGGGAAGGGTTGAGAGATTGAGTCGAGGGCGAGATATCTGTCGTGGAGCCAGTATGACTGGCTGACCTGCTGCTTGTGGGATTGAGGGTGGATGACCTTAGCCTGACGCTGGAGATCTTGGCTTGAAATTTTTCGAAATGAGTACTTGGATGACGGAAAGGGCGTAGGATGCGAGATGAGGATTGATCAGGCTGATTTTGATGATAGGCCTGACTCAAGTTTGAATGAGAAACGCTTGAGGGTTTGATGTGAGATGACATGTCAGTGAGTGTCGCTTGTTCATCAGGGAGTGTAGGATTGTTCAATGACTCCATTGATGATGCAGCACGACCATAGGGGGAAGAGGCGCGTCGACGACGAAAAGGAAAAGTTGAGGCACGCGAGTGGACTAGGATTGGCATGGCTGGTTGAAAGCGGAAATCGCCTGAGCAGTTGCGATATAGGTAGTGATGAAGATCACTCCTGGCGACAGCCGGGGTGGATAACACAGTCCGAGGATGGTCAAACTTGACTAGGCGACCAGCAGGTGGAGCGCATGAGATAAAAATCGACTAGAACATTAGACGAGAGGGTGTGTGTGGAGGGGGGAAAGAGGTAAGCGAGCACAAAAGGATTAGAACAGATTCGACAATTTGTTTAGAAATGGAAGAGGTGAAAAAGGGCGAGTGAATATGTGGAGGTGGGTCAATCAGCCAATCGAAGAGGAATACGGGATGATGATGACTTTAGAAAGAGTCTGAGAGAGAGAGAGAGAGAGAGAAAGGAGAAAGTCTAAGAAGAAAAGGGTTCTCTTTGAACAGTTTTTGAGAGATGAAAATACTTTGAGAAGAATCGAGACGATGGAATATCGAAAGGAAGGGGGGGAGGGGAGAAAAAAAAGAAGAGAAAGCGCTGAAGTCTTTTGTGTGCTTCAAAAAAGGCGATCCAGAGGACATGCAGCGAGGTTAGACGATTTTAATTGGGGAATGACTGCAAATGGATAGAGGGGGGAAGAGAGTGAAGTGGATGAGAACAAAGAGGAACCAGGACAAAGAAGGTACGAGTGAGGACGGCCAGAGCGTCTACCATTGAATTCGGTCAACTGAAGGAAATCCTAGCACCTCAACGAACACGAGATCAAGAAACATGTGTTACTGGTTCGATGAATATGTTTGGTAGAGTAGCACAGTAGGCCTGTAAATTTAATCCCAGAGCCACCGCCCACGCCTTGGGGGAAGCTCTTCGGGCCAAGGGAAAGCAAGTGGATTAGGAGATGTCCTACGGGCGGCTGTTCTGCAAGCTTCAGAATATCGATACTGGCAGTCACAACTTTAGGGATTTTACCCAGCAAGTGATAATAGTTTTATAGCAAAGGGTGCAATGGTGATCGAAGGCATACACAATCACCAGTAGATCAACGGGGGTTTTCCTTGCCAGGCTGGTAGATAGTCTTCCTCGCTAAAGACTGATCAACATGGCTTCAAATTGGAGGACCGGCGAATTGAGCTACCCGGAAGCCAAGCCCACAAGCAGCAGTTGGAACGTCTTCCGTGTGAGTAGATATGGCTGGTACGAGAGCTTACCCAGTGATACTTGAGCCTGGATTGAGCAGATGAGCTTGAGTTGATTACTTGGCGGTGAGTTGTGAGGAAGAGAGGTTACTATAACTAGGATGATGTGAGAAGTGGGAAGCTGAAGTGGACTACAATGGAGATGATGATGGTGCTCCTTGGGAGAGTCTATATTGGTGGGAAAGATCCACCCGAGTCTCTGAGTTCCTCCTGTTCCCGGTCAAGACCTTTCAGGAAACAAGACCCCTGCAATGATTTCTCAATTATGTATTGATTGGGAATGAAGCCAAGGCTGGACTCCGACCCCGCCCTTTTTTCTCTCTTGCTTTTTAATTTGATCTGTTCTTGTTGTTGTTGATTTTTTTTTTCACGTGGTGGAGACAAGCGATCGGATCAAGGCACCGTCCCAGAGGGTCGCGGTTGAGGGAAGACCGGACGGGTAATACCTATTATAGTTGGAGAGAGGACTAGAAGGGGGAGCCAGAAAAAAAAAAGAAGCGAGGAAGCGCTGGATAGAGAGAACTGACCTGGCAAGTTGTGAAAGGGTTCAAGAGTACTGCAGATCGAGAGCAAGTGCTTCTTGGATCAGAGATGGTCAATATTCTGAGCGGGTTGATAGGAGCGTACTAAGGAAATCCACAAAAAGGATAATAAATCCAATGAGCTATGTAGAACCTCTTGTAGAAACATAGCAGACAACGACTGCTCGAGCAAATGCTCCAGACTCCATCAGCATCCTCCCATCGTCAAATCCGATTAAACTCGGTGCAAAAAACCCAAGATTGTTGTACAAAGATATCGATATGTATCAAATTGCAAGTCAAGGGTTGCCATATGTACGACTGTTATCGAGCAGTTGTCAAACCAGACAGATGGTTCGATTCAATCACTCATAAAGTGGACAGGATAAGAGCCTCGATGACGAGTGCTTGGTCAACTCTCAAACCAAGCCGCTGGTGGTCGATTGTCCATATGCGCGACAAAAGAAATGTGTTTTTGATATGCTCGAAATCCCAAGGGATGAGATGTGCAAGACTGTTACGATAAGAAGGTCAAGAGAGCAGGGTTGATAAATACCTTATGCTGCAAGGATGTAGACCGCGGATTGAGGGGGATCGATTGAATATTGGTGAGGGTTCGAATGAGTTTGGTTTTTTAGGATGATGATGATGAGATCGGTCAACCCTTCCCAAAAAAAAAAAGAGATTGGATTCGATATTGAAGGTATGAGAGGGAATGAGCACAGGATGAGGGGATGGAGTGGTGCGGTGAAGGGGGGAGTAATTTAAATGAAGGCGATCGGGATCTGCGGCGAGTGAAAACAGCACTCCGGTGACGGTCGGCGGCACACTCCGACATCCAGCACTTCCCAGCACCAGCCATCCACAGATCACTATATGTATCTTCGTCGGAGGGCGGATGGTTGGGGTTTCGGTTGTGAGCTTTTAGTCAGCTTAGGGCCAAGAGTGAGCGCTGGCCTGGCTGAGAATGAGATGAGGAGGTGTAGAAGATGGCTTATTCAAGAAGGCCGATATCGATCCTCCACCCGGCTTGATCATCGGCTCAGCACACAGCACTCAAGCCGTTGCACATGGGGCGGTGTCAGCAACCTCTTCAAGGCCTCTTTCTTTCTTTTTTTTTTCTCTCTCTCTCTCGATCATAATCATCATCATCATCATCATCAATGACCAAGTGAGCAACGAGTCCAGTCACAGAGTTTCCGCCAGGAACTCCCCCCAACATCTGACTAATTGAACTGTGGAGGAGGCAGGAGGAGATCGACTGCTGGGTAGATATATACCCGGGAGTCTGACTCGATAAACAGAACTTTTTTTTTTGTTTTGTTTTTTCAGGCCGCTACATATCAGCTGTCCTCTTCAAACAAAAAAAGGGGGGGTGCTGGTTCTCCAGCTGGCTGGCGGAGAGGGAACACAGCAGAGAAAAGAAACCGACTTTTGGCGAAGGATAAGATCTTCCGGATCCACTAGCAGCCAAACGAGATAGGATTAGGGATGGTGAGTGGAATTTTTTAAAGTCCAGCCGATCATCAACCCGCTTGCAACTGTTCTCGCTTGTGGCAGTCGAGGGGCGGCCACAACCCGATCACACGGCTGGCTAGTGCCGACGGCTAATACGCATTAGCTTCAATTTTTATTTGAAGGTTGCGGGTGCATACATCATGGGGAAGTGCTCATACAGAGGCGGCTGGAGTAGTGGAGAGCTTGATTCACTCTTCCCTCTCTCTCTCTCTGACTGAAAAGTTACCCTCATCATCCATATAGAACAAGAGAAAGATAAGAAAAAAAAGGAAGTATTCGGAATAAAGAGAAAAAAAAGGGGGGGCTTACATTATTAGTTTCATCAGGATTGGAGAAAGGTGTCGAGGTGGAAGGTCCAATCCCGTCGAGTTGGAGGAGGGAAGCTTGGCCGAGCCCCGTCGCTGCTGGTCCTCCGGCTCCCTCCGCGCTCTCTCCCCGCCCGTCTTCGCCTCTGTCGTCCGCGGCCATCCCCGACACATCGTCTGCAATGTATTCCATCATTTCAACCACAACCACAACAACAACAACAAAAACAAAATCATCATTCATCAACTCTTCACTCTTCAGCTGGGGTATCAGGCCGGGCGGATTGGTCGCTCGGGCTACTTGGCCATCCTCTCTCTCTTTCTCTCTCTCCAAACAAACAAAAACGGATATGTGTGTAGATATGGGGTAGGGCATGGGTAACAGAGCTAATTATCGGGGCTTGGTCAGTCTTCGGGGGTCAGCGCAAACGAGACCGGACCTGCCTGACTATAGTCCACTCAAAGGCTGAGAGCCATAAAAGAAGCACCACGAAAGAGGGATACAGATGTCCAGTGTAAACAAAACAAAACAAGAAGAAGAAGAGAAGGAAAGACAGTCGACCGAGAGAAGAACAAGAGGTCTAAACATCCGCAAACCATTATCCACAGAGCCACACCAAACCACCCTCCCCCCCCCCAAAAAAAAGAGAAAAAGAAAAAGAAAGAGCAGAGAAGAGATGACGGACCTGGACTGCAGATGCCCAGATCCACAAACGCGAGCAGAATGAGAGCGCAAGAGGAAGAGCGCCGGCGGCGGGCCGAGTCCTCTCCTCCTTCTCCTCCTCTCTCTCTCATGCCCCGCTCGAGATCCGCGAGCGCTCGAAGTCGGTTCGCTTCGCGCGTCCCTGAGACTGTTCCTTCTTCTTCTTCTTCTTCTTCTTCTTCTTCGGGGATCCTTCCGCTGCTTGGTTTGCATCATCATTTTTGTTTGTTTTTTGCGGGTTGCGGGTTGTAGGAGAAAAAAGGATTCGGGTGGGGTTGGAGTATTAGTGAATTTAGCTGACTAAGGGGTTTTTTTGAGGGGTGGATGAGGTGATTGGGGGAGAAGGTTATGAAGGATGGATGGCAGATATTCGGAGATGAAAGAAGACAATGAGAGAGTGTGAGAGAGAGTGAGAGAGTGAGCTTACCGATTAGGATGAATGAGAGGACCCAGAGGATTGAGTGAATGAACTGGGTTCGAGAAGGCCTGCAAGGAGGAAGGGGGCGGAGGAGGAGGGAGACGAAGCGAGGAGAGACGGCGGGGGGAGAAGACGGGAGCAGGCTTTGGACGGGAGCTGGAGGAGGGGAAGAGAGGGTTGAGTTTAGTGGGGCGGTGGAGGAGGATGGCGAGCCGATTGCGGAGCGATTTCTGGACGTTTTTGGGCGGGGGACTTGGCGAGTGCTCTGGAGGGCTGATCGGCGACTGCTCCTGTTGGTGGGGACGCAGGATGGACGAGAATCGGCGGCGGGCCGATCCGACGGGTGGAGAGCCGGAAGAGGCCCGCGAACGAGAGCGGGAGGATCGCTTGGAGAGCCAAGAAGAACGGGTGCCTGGTGAATGGGCCTGTGGGTTCCAAGAGAACCTTCGACGGAAGCTGTCCAAGGATGAGGGCGAGCAAGATTGCGGGCGACAAGGGATGAGTGTTCTAGGTCTGGATGGCCGTGCGGCTGGAGTGTTTGTGATTTGATGGAGTGGGGGGGTCGGGCTGGCGGGTGGGTTTGAGAGGGAGAAGTGGTAGTCGGGAGGATCGCCGGGAGACTTGTGATTGTTGGTCATGAAGAATGCACTCCAGGGCCGCCGTCTCTGTTGGACTGGGCGTGCTTCGGCTGCTGGGGTCTGGTGGAAAACGGCCGAGTGGCGGGACTGGTTCGTCGGAGAGGGCAGCCATTCTTTATACAGTTGTGGTAGCTCTGGTGGTAGCTCATCGGCCGCTGGTCGCTCGTTGGGGAGGTGCCAATCTGCTGGCTTGTCATGAGTGGGTGATGCCAATGAATCGGTTCTTGTTGGTGAGCCATTAATACTTGTCTGATCGAATACACCCGCTCGGTCCATCTTTATTATCACAGTCCTATTAGCCTTTCGTTTGTTTCTTTTCTGTGTTTATTAAAAGTGTTTTCAATAAATAATTTCGGGAGGTAGTCGATTATAAGGGTTGTCTGCAAGCTTTGAATCTGTTGGGTTCTTGTTTAAGAATCATTAAGTCTTTGAGGATTCTTTAATGATGAGATCTGGAATACATAGTTCTGTCGAAGTGGTAGGGGGGGGGAGAAGAAGTCAGTTCTTGCAAGTCAACTTGTTTTTCAGATGGACGAGCTGCTCGGCAGAGGAGCAAAGAGTTCTACATAGAGGGTCATGGGGTGACCGATTCTTTAGATATGGATAGTCTGAGATCGTAGACCGGGTATACACAAGGTTTTCTTTTATTCTGGCATTCCCAGAGATTCAGTTTGCAGAAGGCTCTTCCCTGTGTTTTGTTTTGTTGTTTTTTTGGATGTGATGTGATGTGATGTGATGTGGGATTTGGTGTTTGTGAATAATGACATGGCCATGTCAGGGGTTGCCCTCTTCATCCATGTAGGGTTGTATCTATATGGGCGTGCAGAATGCTGTGTGGGTTCAGGTTGGTACAGCGCTTGAGGAGGATCAGGATTATCAATCTCTGATGAGATGGCCGAAAGTTCAGCATCATCATGAACCAGCAAGCGACGACAGGGGAATGGAATAAATACTAACACTCCTGTCTCGACGGTTATTGATGGGGCGCGGCGGACTTGAAACGAGGATTCCAAGCACTTTTGCTCATCGACTTGGGTCCACCAACCGGATTGTAGGTCTGGCGAAGGAAGAGGCTGAAGAAGATCATGAACTCCAGAGAAGCACTTACAATAAAATCATTCGAATCCTGCCACGGAGTACTAGTGGGTCGACTTAAGCCCGAACAAGTTACACTGAAGGTATCTTTCTACAACACCCAAGAACCTTGCCTTCCGAAGCTACATATCTCCTGGCTGCGACGGCTCTCTTCCAGCTCACCCTTGTGACTTCTTTCTAATAATGTGCGCCTCGAGCGAGAAAAAAAAACACTTGATCATCTTCTCCCGCCGGACGTGTTAGAGTACACCAGCACGTACATAAAACTCCCTTGGTCGGTCTCACATGGACACAACCAACTTGTGCACACGGCAGCTACATCCATGGGCGCCGCGAACGTCTTTTTTGTTGAGCAGCTGATCTGAGGTGTTATGCTGTGTTATGTATTCAAGTGTGATTGTATACGGATGTTTTGCAGAGCGGTGGGTCAAGTTGTCAACTGATTTGATTGAGTTAGGAAATCATCCAAAGTCATCCAACTTCATCTCTTACTGCAATCGGATCGACTGATGTGTACCCCACACTTATTAGCAGGAGATTCCCACAACATAAATACCTTATTTTTATTTATGTACGTAAGCTCGTCGACTCCGCCGGGCTTCTCCGGGCGGATGGATTGCAATTCACTTGGCATTTCCACCGGCAGGACGACCGGCGGGATGACCGGCCGTATCCAACCGTCCGAGCCCAGTGAATACAATTTCAAGGAGTGACGGCGCAGGTTGATTTCTCCGCGGGCTGCGATCATGGCAGTGCCGCACTGCCGACTCAGTCGACCTGGCTCGACCCGAGCCTCTCATATCCGGGGATATCCGACTGGATTCTAACCATCTCAAACTTTGGTCCTATCCTTTGAAGGCCTAGGGGCTGGCCGGATTTCTGTATCAGCCTGGTTCACATTGAACAGTCACTTCCATGAGCTAATCATCAGCATGTTGTAAGTTACTGATATGTGACTCAGCACTCTGGACTATGTATGCATGTGGACATGTTTCTAAGCATGAATGCTTTGTGGATCATTGACTGGCTACTGTGATTTGAACCAAACTATTCTGAAAACAATAAGCAATTGTAAAGGAGAAGTCAGTACCTTTCCATCAGCCTTTGTTTGTTGTAATCAACACAAATAAAATCAAGTATAGACAACAGAATCCATAATGGGCCTTGAGAGGTTTGACCTACTTGCTTGAAATTTATCCTGCTTGCTGAATTTCAACTTAAAACTCCTTGGACTATGAAAACAAAACTCAAGAAACTGCTGCCAGTTGACATACAAGAACTAGAGATGGTCGCGGATAATCCGTTGTGGATATCCGTTATCCGCTGGCGGATACCCGCCAGTGCCAACGGATACCCGCCAGCGGGTGCGGATTCGGGTGCGGATGTCCTTTTCCGCCCAAAATCTTGGCGGATATCCGGGTATCCCTTGGGATACCCGGTCATATATAGGTGCCTGTGTCCGCGGCTGTGGGCTGCGTAGCGCAGCCCACAGCTGTGGCCCCACTCGGCTGCTGGACCCTGGGATATACCCATGTCCTTCTCGGCGGCCGATACACAGCCCAGCTGTTCCTCAACCTTGTCGGCGGCCGATACACCGCCCTTCGTCCCTCGCTTTCCAAACCAACAACACCCACCGCGGCCCGGAAGAAACCGCAACCACGGACAGGTTGTCTAGTCTTTGGAGGTAAGTCATCCCCCCCCCTTTTTCACCCCTTTTTTTCCTCTCCGACTCGCGCGCTGACCAACCCCCACCTGTCCTTTGGCCGGCCAACAGACACCGAGCGCTTCTCACGCCCGATTGTTGTCGGTCGTGGTCTTCCGTCGTCGCTCGTGGTTTTTTAGGCTCAGGGCCTCGTCGTCTCGGTCCGATTGCGAGTGTCCCTCCGTTCCCATTCCCCCACCGTCGCCAATCATCGCTACGTCGCCGATCCTCGCTCCGATCCTCGCTCCGTCGCCAATTCCCCCCTCTGCTGCCAACTCCAACACCCCCTGGGCCTAATCTTTTGGACTCCAACCTGCCTTCCAGGCTTTTTGACCAGGGTGAGTCCACATCTTTTCCCCTCTTTGTTAGTAATGATAACTGAGCTGTTCCCTTGTCATTTTTTTAACCCTTCCTCCTGGGCCTTATTTTTGGGTCTCCAGCCTGCCTTCCAGGCTTTTTGACCAGGGTTTCTGACAGGTGCCTTCAAGGCTTTTTGACAGGGAAGTAAGTAGGGAGAACCCAAGTGAGTCCACATCCCTATGACTTTTCCCCTCATGGTTACTAATGAAATCTGATTCCCTTGTTAATTGTTTTTATTTAACCCTCCCTCTTGATCATATTCTATGTCTGTCAGGCTCCTTCTTTCTCATTAACTCATTACATAATTTACAAGTAAGCCAATCCTTTCAAGTACACCTTCATTTCTCATAATTCATTTCTCAGCACCCCCTGCCATTTCTTGTTTGCCACTCTGACTCATTAAATTTCTTTGGTTTATTTTCCCCATCCCTTTTGCTCTCAGGCCCCTGCTTTGTGATCATCTCATTATATACTCAACAAGTAAGCTGACTTTGCTTACTCACACCTCTTGTATTGCTCTTGCCCCTCCCAATCTGATGAATTCTGTTATATTTAATTGACATTATTCTTTTCAATCCTCACTAATGCTAACTCATTAGATTACCATTCAACAAAGTTCAAACATCAATCAAATCACCGGGAACTCAAACATGGAACGCCGATCTAAGAGGATCCGAAGACGCATTGAACGAGGTGATGACTCTGACTCAAGCAATCCACCTCCGATGGAGTCCAATGAAGGAGAGTCAGCCGCCTCAGGTGCTAACCCTGTAGGACCTGATTCAACGGATGAACAGCGTCTGGGTAATCTACTGGGCCAATTTTTGTCATTTTTTTGTTGTTGGTTTTGTTTTTTTGATTAATGAAATTGTTTATGTAGAACATGCAATGAAGCTGGCTCATAATCAAGTTAGCTCTGCCTATGCATCCTATGAGGCACCAACAATGTCTGATCAGAAGGACAAGTTTGATCGGTACATGATAGCTTGTAAATGTAAAACGTGAGAAAACCATCTCCATCAACATCTTTCATTGATCATTATTATCTAAATGAATTTACACTGTAACTAGCTGTTCGAAAAAAATTAATCAACCTGCGCACGAGTCTTCATGTGGGAATCTTCTCACACACGTTGCTCGATGCTCAAAGAAGGCAAACAATCCCTTGGATCATAAGACACTTGCATCGCTTGGCATATCAGGGACAGGTGATATTGATCCACGGGAGGTTAGTGCTTTTCCATTTTGGATATATATTAATTGTTACCTGAAATGTTTCCTCAGGTTTTGCAACGATGTGTCATCTGGTGTGCCGAGGCCGCAAAGCCATTCTCAGCCTTCGAAGAACCCAGCCTGAAGAGAATCCTTCATCCGACAATCTTGAAGCACCTTCCGAGCCGAAAGACGATTTCCAAAGGTGTTCATACCCTCTACTTATGTGTTCAGGAGAAGCTATGTGAGGAGTTAAAGGTGAGTAATTGACATTTGGTTGGCTAATATTTTCTTTCCATCCAACATCACTGATTACTGACCGCAGTTCATACTTATTTTTTGTGCTATTCAGATGCATGAGGGGGTGCTTTACTTGGGTGTTGATGCGTGGCAATCTCCAAATGGATACGATATTATGGGCACGGTGGTCTATCGACTTCTGGACGATGGCGCCGGAAATACGAAATTCGATGCAATGCCCCTGGACTTTGTGCAGCTCAAGGAAAGGCACACAGGCAAATACCTGGCTGAAATGGTAAGAGGTGTTGTTGAGAAATTTGGATTAGAAAATAGGGTATGTAAGATTTTCTTGGTCTCCACCCCCCTTGTGTACCAATTTTGTTCACCCTTGATTGTCTATGATCTGACCCTGTTTCAACTCTGAATAGATCTGTGGTATTGTTTCCGACAATGCAAGCAACAATGAGACTATGATTTCGGAGTTGGAACGACTAGATTGGAAACGATTCAAGGGCAAGGCGCAGTGGATCCGATGCTTTGCGCATATTGTCAATCTTATCGTCAAGGCTATACTTCTACCGTTCACTCGTAAGAAATCCCAAGCTGGCACGCCTGAGTTTGATGACTCAGATGAAGAAGAGGACAAGCATCAACGCATTGTGAGGTA